GACTTTTCAAGGACTCCCCTCAAATTCAAGGACTTTTCAAGGACTGTACGAACAAAGAATAACCTAATAGTCACTGGCATTGAGGAGAGTAAAAGTTTGGATCCAAACATGAGGAAGGAAGATGACAATAAGGTTATCAAGAAAATCATGGAAACACTAAAAGTGAACGATGTAGTAATTACCAAAACTATTCGACTGGGGCTAAAAAAGACCCGGGTGACAAACCCAGACTCTTACTGGTAGCACTGGATAATAACAACAAGAAGAGAGTTATACTATCACATGCCAAAGAACTAAGGAAACTAGAAGAATAGAACACTGTTTACATATCGCCAGACCTCACAAGGAAAGAACAGGAGGAAGGCAAAAAGCTCAGAGAACAATTAAGACTGCTAAGAGAACAGGGCCATAATGACTACATAATTAGAAGGGGTATGATTGTCAAGGACCCTAAGAAGGCAGTAGAAAATACTACCAGGAAGCCTATAGCACAAGCTAAGGAGGTGGGTCCAAATGAAGGACCCAACCAACCCAAATGACTAGCAGGTCAGGAAAATAAACATAAAGACCACAATAACCCTGCAGGACCCAACCCGAATCCAAACAGAGACCAGAGACGGCTAGATGTAAATAGTATAAATTCGTTGGAGATTATGTTCGCAAATGTAGATACGCTAACACAAGAGAAGCTACAAGAACTTAGAATTAGAATAGACAACAGGAATCCATCTATAATAGTAGTCCAAGAAGTGAAACCGAAGTATTTCACAAGAAACATTCAATTATCCGAGTTCAATATGGGGGGTTTCGAAGCAGCACCACTTAATATAGGTAAGGGATCACCAGGCAGGGGAATGATCATGTATGTTAAGAACACCTTGAAGTACACACCCTGTGAACTAAATCATGACTTTGACGAGGGGATTTTCTGTGAGCTGCAACTGGCTGCCAAAGATAAACTTTTAATTGGTGGGTTATACAGAAGCCCAAACTGCACAGAGGACAATTTCAGGGAAATGTGTAACATATTCAGGGGGGTGTGTGCAATAGGATACACTCACGTAATCCTCCTAGGTGATCTAAATATGTCAGAAATAAATTGGGACAGCGGAACAGTATCCGGTGGTACAGACAGTATAAACTACCAGTTTTTAGAAACAGTGCGAGATTGTTATCTGTACCAACACATACTGGAGCCTACTAGGGGTAGAGGAACAGATAAACCTAGTACACTAGACCTTATATTTTCCAGTGAGGAAGGCATGGTGAGTGATATTGCTATTGAAGCCCCTGTAGGTAAAAGTGATCATTCGCTGATATGTTTCCGTTTTAATGCATATATAGTAGAGAAGCCCAGAGTTAAGTTAAGATACATGTATGACAAGGCAGACTATGAAAAGTTACGAGATGTCATGGACCTAGACTGGAGTAGTGAATTGTCAACATGCAGTGGGAATGTGAACTCTATGTGAACTCTATGTTCAGTCTAAAACTAAACGAGGCTGTGATGTCATGTTTGCCAAGGAGACGCGAGTGTCGAACAGCAAAATAAATAAGAGGCATGCAATACCTCTCAGTAGGGAGGTTCTAGCCAGGGTAAAGAGGAAACAACGACTGTGGTCGAAGTTTTTAAAACAAGAGAGGAGGAAGTGTACTTGAAGTACTGTAAAGCAAGGAACGATGTCAGAAAAATTACCAGAAAGAGCACAAAACATTATGAAAAAGCAATAGCAGACGAGGCAAAATCAAACCCCAAGAAGTTCTAGAGATATGTTCA